AAGGGGGGGGGGTGGGGGGGTTATTTGTGCGTGAGGGGTTACTTTAGGAGGGATGCTGGAGTTTGCTGAGATTAAAAAGCACAATGACAACCCGCTGGCCACCGTGCGTGACGAAGTAGTGTTTATTCACAATCCTTCTCTTCTTTATTTAATCAGTTATGGGGGTGATGGGGGGCGATGGGGAGTGGGGGGCGTTGGATAACTGCTTTGACCCTTGGCCCCGGTAGTGCACCGTCGTCGCAGCGCACGCATCCTGTTCCAGAGGCCGTGCACAAAGGAGCGATGAGGTCTGAAAAGATGGTTTGTTAAAAGAGAAGTGACTGATGAGGGATGACAGAGAGAGTAAACAAGGGCCACCGGGGTCCCAGTGTCACTGTAGAGGTTAATCCTCTACAATCCTAAACCCACTCAACAATGAGAGGGACAAATAATAATACTAATTCCGTGTTTATTCCTGATCGATCCTTACATCCTACAGGTCTCTCTTTTTTTATTTTTTATTAATCTCCTTCATCCGATTGTTGGACTTTAACGATGCCATTGTTTGTGAATAATTCATAAATTAATTAGACCTATTATAAGGTAGGGATCAATGATTTTACAACACATGAAAGTCTGAAGTTTGAGTCTTAAGATGTATTTTGTTACAATTTGAAATAACAAATATGCCCAAATCCAATTCATATTGGTTTGTATTATTTATCTGATTGGGTCAATAAAATAAGAATCCTTACTTTTAAATTAGAAAAAAAATATAGGCTTATTTTTTGATGAATTTGACTGTATTTGTATTAATACTGAGCCAGTTGAAGCTAACGGTGTTATTTTCATATCTTTATCACAACAAGCGTCAGTATTATTTTTCTTTATTTTGTGTTTGTTTATTTGTTTTCTGGTGCGAAGGCTTCCCTGGCCTCATCATCATTTTATTGTCACCTTCCTCGGGCCTTTACGCCACATGGCCCGGACCACTGGAAACGTCTTATTGACCAATGTGATACCCCGTTAACCCCATTACCAAAGACGCATGGATCCGTCCGAGTGATCCCGCTCCCTTAGGCCCTAAACAGAGAGCTATATCAAGCTAAGCTCCAATTAAAATAAAAAACAGCAAAGAACGATAGAATGATTAAATCGTTAGTCTCGCCGCGGGGAAGTGGTATTTCGTTTTCCCTTTCAATTAGAGGTTGATTGGGCTTTTCAGGGGAGGTCAGCTGTGAAATCTGAATTATATATGCGCGGACTCGGAGACACATAGACACCGTTTCCCCTCTCGGGGTTCGCAAACGCGTTCCTTGACTTGGATGTTTAAGAGGAAACTGTAGCCTATCAGCCGCATAAAAAAGTCCACTGAAATGACAACAGCAGAGCAGTTTACATGTGGCCTTCTTTTCATCTTCACACACACACACACACAGGCAATGACCAGGACTCATTCACCACCACCAGCAGACGGCGATAACGGCGCTTTGCCTCTGCAATTTCACGTCATTATATGGTTATCCATCCTCAGGGGCTTCTCCTCTTAGACCAACAGTTGTTGTTTTTCTTTTTTTCTTTTCTTTTTTTACCAAATCTTTTTCACATCATCTTCTGCACTGAGTGTGTGTAATTTCTCTCTCTCTGACACCTACTATTATTGCATACTTTAATTACATACCTGGAGGGAGAGAGGGAGACAAAGAGAGAGAGAGAGAGAGATGGTGTGACAAATGGATTTTGAGGCGTTGGTGGAGCATCAAGTCGTCTCAGAGTGAATTGGTTTGGGTAGACTGTAGTTTAATTCCAGTGCATGGTAATACAGTTGGGTCCGGGCCTCTATAGGACGCACAGTGAATTTGAGAATGAAGGTGAATGTTCTGACATTCAAACGCAAATGGTGGATGGCGGAAAGTAATTGTACCTAAACTTTTATCGAAGGCTTGGAATTAAAAAGCTTTTTATATGGAAGCTTTAAAGTGATTTTTAAAAATTTTAAAAATTTAGCAACCATACCCATTTAAAGAAAAATATGTTGAGATGTTTGACTCATCCTAATCACAGACTGCACCCACCTTTTGGCCGCTGCACCACTGCTAACAAATCTTAGTTATTTTTGTTTCGCTGAAGTCTCTGAGAGCGTGTTTGGAAATTTCAAATGCCTTGTGCTATTTGTGGGATTGACCCTCCTTTCTGCCTCCTCCTTCTCCTCCTCCTCCTCCGGTGTGTGCTTCCTCTATGGTCCTCTAGTCACCTGACCAAACGCCATGCAAATCATTCTGCTGCTAGAGCCTCATTGGCCGCTTGTGGCTCATTTAACCGCTGTCAGTGCGCATCATATGGCCGCCGCTTTAACCAACTTCTCAACTCCGACAGGGAAAGTGGCTCAAATGCGCATTCTATCACAGTGGATGTGAACCAACCCAGGCGAAGACAGGGTGAAATACTGGTTGGAGAACATTTTACATCCCCTTTTGGATTAATTTTTACCTCGCATTTGATTCATTTGGGGTTAGAATATTAATTTTGTAACCCAGTCATCCTGTGCGCACCCGATCTTGTGCGCGCCTGACCTGATCTTGAAAAAGACTTTTTCTCTGTTGGTGGCGAAGTTTAAAACCAGGTGAATGTATAGCATGATGATGGAAACTGACCTCCATTCCCCCGGCCCCCAAACGAACACGACCACGGGGCAAACGGGGCCGAACAGCGGGTCCAAAGCGAATCAGGAGCGGGTGAAGAGACCGATGAACGCGTTCATGGTGTGGTCCCGTGGGCAGCGGAGAAAGATGGCACAGGAGAACCCCAAAATGCACAACTCTGAGATCAGCAAACGGCTGGGTGCCGAGTGGAAGGTGATGTCCGAGGCTGAGAAGCGCCCTTTCATCGACGAGGCGAAACGGTTGCGAGCCATGCACATGAAGGAGCATCCGGATTACAAGTACCGGCCAAGACGGAAGACCAAGACGCTGCTGAAAAAGGACAAATATTCCCTTGCCGGTGGACTGCTTTCTGGGCCCAGTGGAGGCGGTGGAGTGGGTTTAGGGGTCGGAATGGGTTCATCCGGGGTCGGCCAGAGGTTAGAGAGCCCCGGGGGTCACGGAGGCTCCGCCAGCTCCGGCTACGCGCACATGAACGGCTGGGCCAACGGTGCGTACTCGGGGCAGGTGGCTGCAGCCGCGGCGGCAGCAGCGATGATGCAGGAGGCTCAGCTAGCCTACAGCCAGCACCCGGGGAGCGGAGCGCACCACCACCACCACTCACACCACCATCACTCACACAACCCCCAGCCAATGCACCGCTACGACATGACAGCCCTGCAGTACAGCCCCATCTCAAACTCTCAGAGCTACATGAACGCTTCTCCATCCGGCTACGGCGGGATCACCTACACACAGCACCAGGGCTCCGGCGTCTCCTCTTCAGCTGCCATGGGGACGTTAGGGTCGCTGGTGAAGTCGGAGCCGAGTGTAAGCCCTCCCGTCAGCAGCACACACTCACGGGGTCCTTGCCCCGGAGACTTGAGAGAGATGATAAGCATGTATTTACCGACCGGAGAGCCGGGGGACCCGTCAATGCAAAGTAGACTCCATGCCTTGCCGCAGCATTACCAGAGCGCCACGGCTGGAGTGAACGGGACGGTCCCTCTAACACACATTTAGAACTCACAGAATAATTGAAAACTGCAAACGAACACATAACCAAATATTTACCTCTTTTCTAAATAACCCCGGTCCCGAGAACTACCTGCATTTTGTACAGAATGTTTATGATATTGTAAATGAAGGGTAAATAGCATATTCATCTCGGCTTTTTTGAATAGCCACCAGTGGAATTATATAACGAATATGATGCTGAGATATTGGTTATTGTGCTTTCATCTTTTTGTCCATTTACTTCACAGTCTTAGTTGAGGGTTGCGCCAGGTTCACATGGGGGTATTTGGTTTAATTGTCTCATAATTTGGGGGGGTTCTGTAAGTTATTGAAAATGAGATAACGTGTCATAATCCTAAGAAAGTGCTTTAAAAGAAATGGGAAACTCACATTCTTCAAACATTTGTGTTCATTTGCAGAAGCCTGTGTCTTAATTCTTGGAAATCATCTCTTTTTATTGTAACACTCTAATTATTGTAAATTGTGAATAATTTTAATATTTCAAAGGATGACGGGCAACTGCTGTTGTAATTTAAGTGCTTTTCTGCAAGTGAAAAGCCCTGATATTGCAATGAAGAAGAATTGAATAAATTTCACAAGATGTTGCTTTGATTCTTAAGACAACGGTCTTAGATTGATTATTTTCCACAATGTTCTTACTGGAGTGTTTTTCACGTTTTAGGACACATGATTATCATCGAGCCTCCTCTCTCGAAAAGAAAAAAAGTTATAATAAAATAGCCACCCGTTTAAATTTTCACACCGCTGCTGGACACAGATCCCACGAGCTTTTAAATAGCCCTAATTGTTTGTGCGTAATTGTGCGTAAAAGCTGCAGTCTGCAGGCCTGTGAGGAAACCATTTTGGTGGGATGGTTCTGTTTCCTGGGCTAAACTTTTATGTGGGTAATGAGACATTTATTTATCATTTATATATATTTTTTAAAAGCATTTTCTCTATTTCAGTGGCGTGCAGGCCAAACTATATTCAAGTGTAATTTTTGAATATTTAAGCCAGACAAAGTTGATGGCCCACATTCACCCTTTATACTATGACTCCTTACACGTTCGTTTTTGTGCATTCCTCAAAAGAAAAAGAAAAAAAAAACCCAAACACATTATATAGAGTCCGTGAAGGCCTCATGACAAACCACCTGTTAGTGTTATTAACGAAACGTCCTCATTTATTAACGGATATAATAGGGTTAATCTAAATTATGCCATTAACAATTTACATTTTCCCCCTTGTAATGGCTTATGTGATGTGTTTATAGCACATTTAAGCAGCAAACATTTTTTATTAGTTTTTAATTTAAACCAATTTATAATAATTTTATTGATCAGTGAGTAGATATTTATTTTGCTAACGAATTGTAAAGTTGTAGCAGGCTTCCATTTGTTGATCAGATTTTAAATAACGAAATTGCTCTTCATCAAAAAATTAAGAACCTCTATGAAAAGACTTTGGAACTCATTTGCTTATTAACATTATAAATATGGGTTTATATCAGGCGAATATGAACTTTTTTCATAATACATAATTAAAATAGATTAATATCTTTTTGATGCACTGAGAGAAATTTGATATCACCGTTTTGATGCCATTTCACTGCTTCTGTTTTGAACACTTGACACAACTCATAAGACTGAGACGGAAAAAGTAAAGAATAATAATATATAATGAACACTTTAGTGATCAAATGTTTTTTTTAAATCATATAAATTACAGACTCGATTTTCAGTGATCTTTCACCTGAAGTGGTTTGCATCCACTACCCTCAGGACATGGAGTTGTTTTAATCTTCTACCTTATTTTTCTTTTGGCATTTAATTGTTTATATTTGAGAGAGGAAAAAATAGGTGACCCTGAAAGGCTTAATTCATATATTAAAAACTACGTTGTAATCAACAATAAAAACAGACCTTAGAGAGAAATATTTGTATCCACAAAATCACAAAAACCTTAATTTCTTTAGCTCTATTTTGGTTATCTGCTTGAACAGTGTTCAAAGATGATAAGATGATAACTCTTTTGTTTGTAATAACTGTTATTTTACCCGGGGTTTTATCTTTAATGCATGGTCCCATCATCTTTTAGTTTAGCTGTGAGGCTGACACACAAAGAGTCAAAACTGGGAAAACTGTATGAGGCACAAACGGGGATTTGAGCAATAAATTCATGTTTGATATCACCTCTACAAGAAACTTGGGAGGATAAATCCGTCACTTGTAAAGGAACAATCTTAATGCCACTTCGTCAAAATATGAAACTCCGTAGCACAAAGCAGAGCATGAAATAATGCAAGATTATATACACTTAACCTGCTATCAACGTGCACAACCCAAAAACAACACAGCCTTAACTTTTGCACGGACTGGACTTGAACTTCCCAGAGTCCAAACACACTCGGGACAAGCAGTTCATGGGGTTACTGATGACTCATCAGAATTTCAGAGCTGTAGATGTTAGATTTTAGATGACTGTGAGTTTTGGTACCTTTTGGGGAAAAACAAAAAAACAAAAAACACCTTCATTGTGGCACAGACATGTTTAAGAAAAAAAAGATACCCATGTCATTCAGATTATTAATCCTTTTAAGATAATGAAAAATTATCCTGAAAATTACGTCATTTTTTGACAGGCCACAGCTGGTTTTGACGTGTACATTTTTTGATTGCCTGTAGGCCCCATGTGTAGATACAGACTAATAGCCATACACATGCAAATGAGGGAAATTTATGCCTACTTAAGTATTTTTAAAAATCAATTAATCTCAAATACATAGTTAAAGGGCCTATTTCACACTGATGAAGACTTGCATGGTATGTCAATTAAACCTGTTAGGCCTCATAGTGGAGCGTGTAACGTCTGGCTGTGCGTTAATCTATTGAAAGAAATCAGAGGAACAATGTCTGGAAATTAGTTCAAAATCCAAAACCCCAAAAGAAACCCGCATCTATGGAGACATCTCTCCGCACTACAGCGCGCAGCCTATGGCACGGGATGCCCTCCTTGTGTGTTTTGCATCTTATCTTGCTGATGTGAAGAGATGCGGATTAACACTGAAAGCCTGGAGAGGCGGAGCGCGTCACGGCGCATCGCCAGGCTAAAAAGAGGAGCGTTCTGGCAAATTTAACCCGAATAAATTGCACCTTGAGGTGGAGGTGGTGGTGGAAGAGGGGTAAGTGTAGGGTGCACGGTATACAAGCTACGTGGCGGCGGTGGTGGCTGCTGAGCGCGTGTGTGCGGCGTGTTTGTGCGTGCGCGCATGTGTTTAGCTGACCTGCCAATAAATCTCTCCACCGTGCGATACTCTTATCTTGTAGCCACCGATATATTCTGTGCTAGGAGGCCATCAGCTCCAGCGCACACTCGGTTGCTCGTAAAGCCCCGATCCCTTGCACTCCCTGTCCTAAATGGGGATAATTAGCGTCACTTTATCACGCCTCTGCATATTTTCTCCACGCCCCCCCCCCCTCCTT